CGATTACCAGACCAAATATTTCATGATTATTTGATTATTTGATTATCTTTATCAAATACCTTATTAGAATTAGGATGACTCTTTAAGTAAAGATCTTCTGTTTGCATGTCATTTGTGGTGGTATTAGTAATATTTTGTAAATAGATTTCAATAGTGTACAGCAGTTATTAAAAACTATATTGCCGATTCATTCGAGAAAGAACCTTTTCAATCTGCTGTGTTTTGAAGAGAAAAGAGAAAATTTCTGTTCAAGGACTACGGAATTGTGTGATCAGTTAACTCCTAGAACAAAAGTGAAAATAATCCTTGTACTTGTAAAAAGTTTGTTAAAGAACAATACATCGATACAAAGTATTTTCGTGGGGGATATTTCTTTTATTTCCAGAGAAGCGGTCAAAAAAGACATTATTTAAGTACCTACAAGAAGTAGAGAGCAAGTGAGTGTATGTAAGACATAAAGTCATGTGCTATTAAAGTTGACAATTAGAACAAAAAATGAAATAGACAGTTGAAACAAAGTTATGACAATCTTTTAAGGCATAAAATACAGTAGCAAGGACAGATAATGATTCATCCAAATTTAACGCGTTGTTTTGACAACTGTTGTTATTGATAATCATTCAAAATTCGCGGAAAAGTCACTAACTAACGTCATAAAATCGGTAACGTGGATTTACAAAGGAAAACGGACATGAGGTTTATTTAATTACTCGAAATCTACTTCGGCCAAGTTCGGGGGCATAAAATTTGAGGCAAATAAGTCTATTCCTAAACTTTCCTATCATCAATCAATTTGTATAGCGTTTAAATATTGACTTGGTTTCAAAATCATAAGGAAAAAATCCAACGAGGGATCTTTTGTGTATCGCATGTATGTATTCATGTATTGTTAAAACATTTGAGCAATGCAGGGGGAAGTAAAAACATATAAACTCATGCGAACTCCAGCATGAATATCTCGAAAAGTAAGTCATGAAGGTTTATTTTTTTGGCATATTTCGATAGTGCATATCAAAATTGACTTGGTTTCAAAATCTTAAGGAAAAAAACCAACGAGGGATCTTTTGTGTATCGCATGTATGTAGTCGTGTATTGTTAAAACATTTGAGCAATGCAGGGGGAAGTAAAAACATATAAACTCATGCGAACAAAATCTTGTTAATATTTCTTATTAATTAAATGCAGCATTATATCAACTACAAGGCTGTCATTGGTCAAGTGACTGGAGATCGAAGGAAATGTTGACTGCTGATGACATTAAAATAATGAAATGTCGTCATGTAATTATAATCAAGATGGTCGATTTGTTTGGGACATTTTTAAAACGATAATGTTGGTAAAATTTTGCTGAATTTGAAAAAAAATACTGAAGAATCGGAAATGGTATCTCATTCGTAAAAAACACTATTTGATTATAATTGGTTTTCAATGCACTCCTATCCTCAACTTTATTTCATGATTTTCGCTGCATAAAATTTTATTTTGAGACTCTAAGACAAAATAAATAAAAACATGAGAAACATTTTCTATTGATTAGGGATCAACCAAACAACACATGCTATTTAAAGCTATTGACTGAATATAAAAACATGCCATACAAAATTGATAATGATAACAACATGCATTTCATGCAAATCGAATTGCGGACTTTGTTTAAGTGTAATTTTCAAGAATAATAGAAAATTTCTACTAAAAGCCTTCTATGCATTAACGCTATAAATATTGATAAATAAAAGAGGAAATCATGATACAAATTGGATACTACTAGTAATAAACGATCAAATACTAACATTGTTTTGGGGTTTGATATATTGATATTCTAGTAGGCAGTTGGTATTACAATGGGTACGAATTGTGCACCAGAACTAGCCGTCTGGTTTCTGTACTCTTATGAAACAGAATGCATACAGAACTTTCTCAATGAAAAAAAAGAAGAAAAAGCATCTTACAAAATTCTTTAATTTCACTTTCAGATATATTGATGATGTCCTCTCACTTAATAACCCATATTTGAAAAGGTGATTACATCTCATATATCCCAGTGAACTTAATAATATAGATACTACCGAAAGTAGAAAGTCTTCTTCATATCTTCATCTTTTCCTCGATATTGACACTAATGGACGACTTCACACTAGAATCTATGATTTCAACTATCAAATTGTCTACTCCCTATTTCTCAGCAGTATCATAACCTCTGTTACGTTGTATGGCGTTTTACATATCTCAGTTGATACGTCGCGCGCGTACATGTTCACATTATGCGGACTTCGTTAACCGAGGTGTTCTCCTTACACAAAAATTGCTCAAACAAAGTCATAAGGAAGAACGTATGAAATCGACAAGTCATATGTTTTACGGTCACCATTACGAATTGGTATATCGATAAACTGTGTCTGTGTCTCAATACATATCGACACGTTTTCGTGGTGTCAGATCTTTAGAGACCAGTATGACTTCTATTACTCTTTATTTTAGGTCCTTTTTTGAATTTAGCTTTTATGTTTTCATGAATGAATGAATTTCCAAGCCTTAATCAATGAGCCTTCTGAAAGATAACCCAGGAAAATCCTTCAAATACTACTTATGTTCCGAACAGCATTTTTAAAAATTGTGGACGTCATTGTCTTTAAACACTCGATAGTATGAAGCAAGTACAAGAAGACTACATTATTGAAACAAACTCCAAATAAAATAGGTGTAAATTTATAGTGTTATTTATTTTCTCAAAACACCATTAAGTCTATTTAAGAAAGCAACTAACTGCTTCATGATCCTTATATTTACGCTGCATAGTGTAAATTTGGCCTGTATACTTTGGCATTGATCTTGTTTCAATATTTTTGTGCAACCATTGTTTGATTGCATAGGCTAGTTAAGTAAATAAACTCACCGTAGATACCAGGATTAAAACTTTGTACGCCAGACGCGCGTTACGTCTACAAAATACTCATCAGTGACTCTCGATTTAAAAAAGTTAAACAGGTCAAATGAATAACGAAGTTGAAGAGCATTATGTTTAGTCCTTTCATATAATCCATACAATGTCACTGCTATGCAACGGCCATTATTATCAGTTGCTTACCGAGGTACGTGAGAGTCTGACTGAATCTCAGGACAAAAAAAATACTCGATATCCATAGCCAGTGTGTGTTTTATATAAACACTGCAGTAGACTCCCCTCGAGAACGAAAAAGTACAAGTAAAAACTATTAAAGACAAGAATCCAATTGAAGTTTGGCTTTTAAACACAAGAGCTTCATGACTAAAAAAAAATCAACGTGAGACATCCTTGACAAGGACCTGAACTCTTATATATGTATATGTATATAATATACTGAAGTTCAAAAGTGAGTCAATCACCAGCTACGTTTATAACCTAATGTTATCCAGCAAAATCAGTCCAAGCGTATTGCTAATTTCTGGCCCAGAATTGATTAAATGTACCCCCATTTTTATATTGATTCCTGCACCAATAGCAATTGTTATAGAATGGTTTACTTACTGATGAAATTCTGAGTCTGTGGTTGATAATTAAAAAGGAGGAAGGACAGGGCCAGTGCGACTCAATACTTTACCATGATCTGATTTTAATAACATGATGTAATGTAAAAGGTCCATTAAGAACAATCAATATGATGAACAATTTTCAATTTGGTCTTAGTTGGTACGTGTTCTTTGTCAATTTAAGGGCTAGGGCTTTATTCTAAAAAAAGGGTAGGTTACTACAAATCATAGTGAACAGCAGCTTACAACTTGAAATTTACCTAATTTTCACCAAATTACGAAACAACTTTTTTCCTGAATGCCCGTTGCAGAAAAGGGTGTGCTCGAGTCTGAGACAATAGATAAAGACTGGAAATTTCAATATGAAAAAAAAAGGAATTATGAAATCTGTTTTACGATGCCACATTTCTTTTGACTATATCAAGTCGCAGTAAATCATTGTATTATATTTCATATTGGTAAAAGTATTTAAACATAGCTCACAATTGTTGTAATGGTGATATTTGTTATGAAATTATTTCGTGAGTTGTGATAAAGGATCTAATATTGTACTAGTTCAAAAAAGGGAACAACCTGTACGAATGCGTTTTGTTTTAATAGAAGGCAAATTCTACACTTAGCCAAACTGTCTTTGTTAAAAAAGCCAAATACTTATGTATATAATTAAAAAAAACATCATAATTTACACTGCCTTTTACATTTATTATCAAATCATCGAATGTTTACCTACAGAAAATGACGAAACAAACTAGCTATAGGAACTGTGCATATTAATAATTCCTGTAGCTAGTTACCACTTGGGCTAGCATATTATACACTGTCATTCTAGAACAAAGCAGGTATATTCATTTGATACTGACACATCAGCGTTTTGAATATATATGATATAATTGCTACTGGAGGTTAAGCACCCGTCAATAAACAAATTAGTCATAATGCATAGGTCAAGAGATTCGTAGTACAACATTACATCATTGAACGTACCGAGATCGGATAATGGTGGCATTCTTTCCGCTCATCATTCAATTTAACGTGCCTATTCAAAAAACCTCATTAGAGCGACAGACGGAAGTACATTTTGAACAGTGGGAAAGCCACACGTCAGTTCTGCGCCTCCTTCCATATGACGTAACGGACAAGAATTCAAGGGCGACAATCGCGATTTTTACATAGACGGCGACAGTATCGCACCATCTCGGTAATTTGTTTACATCGTGTACGTTTGATTTTTCAAGAAATTTATTATTAAAGACAATTAAACTTGCATCATTTCATCATCAATTAGTTATATAGGTAAGTTTAACAGGTGACCATGCTATTTTTTCTTCTTAGGAGATTTTATTTTACAAGAAATAAACATCTGAAAATGGCAAGTGACGTTGTTGTTTTGGAAGATAAAAATATGGCGGGTGTTTTCCCCTTCTGAAAATAACTGACACATTTGCATCCTAATGGCTATTTAAATATAAAATGACCAAAAATAGTATCTATGATGATTGGAGTCCCTAAATATTTGCATAATTACCCATCACTCCGTGTCAAATTGCAACTGAGGCTGCGAAAGGGAAGCACATAAATCGACGCCATTTTTCAACAGATCCACATGAATAGTAGGTTTCTGTGCTCACAAAATCCTAGTAATATTCTTTTAATGGTTAGTAGAAAGATATGAACAATATCCATAACAAAATTTTATTGATCAGATCGGTTTATGCCAAATTATGGCTATATATTTGCCCCTTTTTCGAAGCTGAAATTTCCACGCCCCTTTCCCAGCGTGAGACTTCAATTTTAAATAAAACTTTAATTTTGGCCTGTCAATGATAGCATTTATATTTTAGTTTAATTATTACGGTTGTGTAAAGCATTTGTGATAATTTGTTTGATTCTCTCGAATAGTAAACAGGTTAGTTCAATGAGTGTGTGACAAAAAAAAAAATAACAACAGAATAGAGTACTATGGCTAAAAGTATAAAGAATAGAGAAAAATTGACTAAAAAATATAAGGAATAGAGAATAATGTTGTGCTAATTTATTGAGAAAAGAGAATGATGGGTAAAAAGTATAAAGAATAGAAACAAATGACCTTAAAGATTTGATAATATAGAAATGGAGGACACCCCATCCAGACCCTTGTTTATGTGAACAACAGTACCATTTTTTTGTTAAATAATGCATATATGGTCATGAAAAATATTTTGAACAGATTTCAGGTATATGAAATATTAAGCAGAAGGAAAGTATCAGTTCTGCCCCTCCTTCCATGCTAAAAAAACACAAATTATATGTGCATGATTGATTGTTGATTTTTAACGCCACAGTATTGGCAAGGTATGTGTTGTGGCCAGGTTTTATTGGTGGTGGATGCCTGATTGCTCATATATTTTATAGTACAGCTCGAAGAATGCCCTCAGATTTGAGGGTATCTCAAATTTCACAACTGATTAGCTTCACAGTTTGAAGTCCTTGTAATTTATATATCACTCTTCCCAATAAACCATGGAAGTATTATATTGACATGAATAAACTGACCACAGATGTAACACATAGGTTATCTGATAAGAAAGTCAACATTTTGCCATTTTCTGTCTTTACTTGAAATATAAATATAAATATTCTTCATAAGATTTAGACAATCTAGTCAGTGTTTTTTTTCATTAATCATGTTCAGATACAGTTAAAGGAATGTAATATGAAGTTATGATTTTTTTTTTTTATTAATTTTCCATTTTTTTTTAAATTTAGAATAGACCCATAATCTGTTGTCATTTTGAAGATTAATTTTCATTAGAAATGAATATTCTTAGTAATTTTCACATTTATTTTGATAAAATGTCATTTAATGATAAAAGGAAATTTCCTAAATATTTAAAAGAAATTCTTAATAGAATATTCATTAGGCAAAGACAATTTGGAAAAAGAACCCTCCTTTTTATACACCCGTTTATGAGAGGTACAAATGTATTATGGTATACCGTTGTCCATCTGTCTGTCTGTCCGTCCGTCATAGATAACCACAGACCTTTGATTACAGCAATCCTAGTTCAGATAACTTGCACAAGGAGAGTTTGAATTCTCAACCTGAATGCAGACTTACTTGTGCATTTACTTTATATTTTGCTCTCATACTGATATTTTGTTTGTAATTATGACGTTTACTTACATTTAATATCATAAAATATATATTAATATCTATTAAACAGATTGATATGTTATTATAGTGATGAATTTAACTTTAACATGTTAAGATACTGAATTAAATGAATAAATAAATTGGAAAATTTCTTTGAACATATGTTGCTGTATATGATTTTGACCTTTTCTTATCAGACATATCATATAAAGTCATTAAAATAAATTATTTATTTACATCAAAAGTCTAAATTTTTTTGTTTTTTTTTATTGAAGCTTATATACATACTTTTGATTATTTAAGATTAAAATAAGAATAATTTCAATTTCAAAAAAATAATAACAAATATCTAAAAACAAACTTAAGTATACCGGTATACATTATGGGATTTTCTCATGATTGAAGGCTTTAGTGTAGCATAATTATCCACTCCATTTGATTTTTTGGGGATAGTTGTCTCATTGGCAATTATTTCACATCTGATTAGTTTTACATTAGTGAAATTAGAAACATTCAATTTAAATTAAAACTTGGACCACATAAGAATCAGTAGACAATTAAAATGTAAATTATAATTTCATATGACAACTCTAGAGAAGTTGGGAAATTATTTTCATTTAATATCATATGCATAAATTATATATTTACAGATACATGTAACAATAGAAATAAGGAATAAAGAAGAGCAGGAAACATTTCCATTTTGAGGATTTATGGAACAGAGGACTTTTTTGACTTGTTTTTACTTTAACTTGGACTTTTTAACAATAATTATGCTTCTTAAATTTTAAACTTTATTGTTATGTGTTTTTTTTTTTTTTAACTTTCAAAGTATTTAAGTTGTATTAAATTTTGTTTATTTGATTGAAGCTTATTTACTTATAATTATTTAAGATATCATTTACACATGTTTCATTTTAACATTATTTTTATGCATTTGTATTTATTTATCTTTTAATAAACTTTTTTTTTCTTAACATTTTTATATATACAAAGTGAAACAAAGTGAAACACCATAATCATTTTATATTGATGACATGGGGTAGATGAACATAAGACAATGCTGCTGCTATACAATACAACATTCATAGATGCAAAGCAAGCACATTAGCCATATACATGTATGTACTGTAGTATTTGAGACATAAAAAAATATCAAAGATGTAAAAGGTCTACTTTAATGATTTATTAGGTGTGAAGGACTTAAACGGAGTGGTTTTAGAATAGTTCACTTCTCCCAGAGGTATCCTTGATGTCTCTCTAGTGGCCTCTCATGACATGACTTTTCACTGTTATATGCTTCCAGGGAGATTTTGAAGTGTGGTGACCCCTGCACCTAAATAAATCATTTTCAGCAGATACATTTCTCTGTTTTCAGACTATTTGATGAAAAGTTTAAACTAAAATTCAAATTAGAAAAATGAAAACTGAGCAACTTGAACCCACAAAATACAGATGATCTCAGGTGCTCTGGAAGAGTAAGCAGAACCTGCTCCATGTGTAGTATTTAGAATGAGATGCCTAGGTGCCCTTTTCCTATATGTAATCACATGATTTTGCAAATTATTGTGTGCTTTTATTATTGCAAATTTGAAGAATGGAATAAAATGTGTAAAAAGTATTGCTTTTGCAGAAAAATCAGCACACAGATATAGGAATGGTATATATGTATTTGATTTAAGTATAGATCCTGTGTCCAAGCTTTGTTTTCTTGTAATAAGCTTGGACATCATCTGAGGATTTGCATTTTAATCAGATTAAAAGGTATCAGAATGTAATTTATTATTTAGATACTCACCCACTCACATTATTGCAGTAATAAAAAATTTGCTATCCTTTCTGAATTTACAGTACCTAAAATTTCCATCATAATAGACCTCGAAAAAGATTAGTGTGAAATAAAAGTTGTGGGTCGAAAAATTAATATCAACGCAACAAAACAGGATCACCAAAAATCAGAGTGAGACATTCATATGCCATCTTCAAAGCAGACCTCAGAAGCAATATAGCTTTTTTTAATGCTCTTAATGGTCATATAGCTCTCACTTGTATTAAGACTTGTATGTACTAGGCATTGAGCATACCTGTTGAAGGTTAATCCAGGAAAGCCCTTGGATGCATTCAATTTAAAATATTTTTTTTTCATTTTCAATGAAGGAATAGTGTAATTAATGAATGCTATATTTGAAAAATACCATAGTTAATGTTAAATTCTTCAGCAGCAGCATATCTGGGTTGAACTATAAGTTGTTTTTAAAAGAAACCCATATTGACATGATTGACAATTGATGGAGGATGATAATTATAGGTAACAGTTTTAGCCTTCAACAATTTGCAAACCAATTTGTCAAGTATAAAGGACCTTATAAAACAGCATGTGATAAAAATTCTAAATCCAGAACTAATGATAAAATAAATACAGCTACTATATATATATATATATATGGAAGAAAAACAAATTTGATGATAATGGCCACTAAACTTTTTCAAAACATTTTTTTAAGAACATGCACACACTTTGAAAACACAATAACAAATATTTGTTACCAGGGCCCAGACACACTTAAACATGAATGGTTAGTGTACAACAGGTTCCTTGATAAGGACAGGCAAAATACAAATGTTTGTGTGTTAACTTCCCACTTGCATAGTAGTTTTATTTATACAATAAGAACAAAGACTAAAAATCAAGTGAAAATTATTGACTCATCAGATTTTCATGTCACAGTGGCAGGCAGGCAATATTTGTTGATTGATACTTTTAATATTTTTAAAATTGACAAGTTGACACATTTCAGGTAAATATTTACAGAAACAAAGAATGACTGTAATCATTAGACTTTAAAAAATGGCTTAAAACAGACATTAGCTGAGTGTTTACACTTTGCATTTGTGCAAGCTTTTCATTCAGACAATATTTTTTGCCCAACTGAAATTTCTTGAAAGTGGGAAAAAGGGGGGGGGGGGGGGGGAGCTTCCAGAAAACTGAAGTCATTTATGTGGAAAAATTCATTCATAGAATAAACCAGTTTCAATGTACTACATAAATCTGTTATACACTGCAGCATAATTAAATAAATGCAGAAAATTATTGAAACAAGGAGTCTGAGCAACATGAAAAAAATCAACAAATGACGGAGTAAAGCCTTCAACCTATCAACATTTTTATGTAAAACATATTAAAAATCCAGGAAACATCATCACACTTCATTGTCTGAATCAATTTCGTGGTTAAAAACTGGTAAAATTGACATCGTTTGCTCCATTTTGCAATGAAATAACGCCAAAAACGTTAGAAAAATGTTGAATTTTGACCTCCGGTTGAGGTATTTATTATGTAAACAAGACTCGAAGTGACGGGGATTTCTTTACATAGTCATGTGCCCATGTGTTTTTGGGTCACATTTATTTATATCTCAACCAATGAAAAGCTTTAGGATGCAATTGTGTCAGTTATTTCCAGACGGGGGTATTACCCGCGGTTTTTTGGAAACCAACGGAGGTAGTCTTTTGATTTATCATATTTCAATAACGAAGCACTTATTTTAATATATTTTTGGCAGTCGTGTGACAAAATCTATTCTGATGAAGATTAAACCGCAAATACTGTTGGATGATAAGTCGTTTTGATAAATTTATTGTCTGAATCATATGCTACGTTTTTGTTTACACGCTGATTACAGCGCCACCTCGAAATTTTTAGATTATGTCCCCTTTCCCGCGTGACCACCGGAAAGAACTCTTCAATGTCACTGGCTTTCCCACTGGAATGCAAAGATAAATGATCAAAATAGAATTCGAGATTTTTTTATTGATGCATATTTGTTTTGGAGTGTCAAAAATGTCATATAATAATTTTTTAACAACTATCTGAGATACTGCATGTACATGTATTGCACCAAAATATATAGGCATTATCCAACATGGTAGTCTTGACTATCCATTTTAAAAAGATTGATAAAGTTAGATTCATAAGTGGAATAAAAATGATTGGGAGTCAAAGAACTGTTCTGTATTTTAGTAGTCACCATTTTGATTTTATTACGCCATGTGGACTGGTAATGCACATTCAAAATTCTGAAAAGAATAAAGAATAAAATTAACTGTTTCATTTCAATGTATTACACAGTTTTCATTTCATCTGTGCAATACTTTAGCATAAAGAGTTGAGAGGTAAAGTAATGATTTTCCGTATCACTTGTATCAGAAGGACATCGCTTGGGCTCGAGTTAGTATTATATACATTGTAATATGAACAGTCATTAACATTGCCTTGCTATTTTGCACAATGTTTTCCTAAACTACATATTTGTTCACCACAATCGTATACTAATTATACTTAATTTTAACACAGAATTTCGTAACACGTTGTAGTCGGAAAAAAAATGAAATTATTAATGCCTTCAAAACATTTTTAAATCAATGCTGATCATTTCACTCGTAATACGACTAGTGTATCGGTATCATTTGTAATATAGAATTTGGTGTATTTTAAATTTTTATATGTAGTGTAGTTGTTTACACCCGTGTCCTTTCGGTCTATGGTTGATAGTTGTCTCATTGGTAATCATACAACATCTTCTTATTTCTAGATTGTGGTTTATACTTTATTGAAAATCTAAATTGTTTGAAACATTGAATCCAATTTCCACTTGTACTTGGGGGCCTCGGTGGCCGAGTGGTCTAAGTAGTTACTACTGTAATCACTAGCCAGTCAACACTGAGGTTGTGAGTTCGAACCCCGCTCGTGCGGGTGCATTCGACTCCAATCTTAATTGATTAGGATTGTCAGTTTTCCTATCGAAGATCGGTGGTTTTCTCCGGGCACTCCGGCTTCCTCCACCAATAAAAACTGACCGCCACGAAATAGCCCAAAAGCGGTGCTTAAAAGTGGCATTAAAACACCAAAAATCAAATCAAATCAGATCACTTGTATTTGTATATGTGACAAGCATGATTAACCACGAATGTAAGTATTGATTATAGTATGAAGTTATATATGATGCAAATTAAATTACTCTATACCTATTACTTTTAACCTGAGTTTGTCAACGGAACCTTTAAGTTCGCACATGTACAGTCCTTGGTCTGTAACTTGTAGATTCTTGATTTTCAAGTTGTATCTCCCATGATTAAAATCGCCTACCACTGACAATCTTGGTCTCAAGTTATCTGGAATATCGGCAGCATTTAATTGGTTCTTCCAGGAATAAACAGCTTCAGGTGGCGGAGGATTTTTGGCAGGGCCGTACCATGTAATGGTTCCATCTTATGTGCAGTTTAATTGATTGTGGAATTAACATGTCCTGTAACAGTTTGTTCTTCTTCTGCTGTAGAATAGAATGAAAGTAATTACACATCTCTATTCCAACCTTAGACTACAATAAAACATATATGTATACTAACGAATATGTATAAAAGGAGATATGGCTAACACGAATGAGACATCAAATCAACAACCCGAATGAACCAAAACAGTCATACTTCTTTCAAAGTCAGTGATAAATACGATAATGCTGCCTGAAAGTAACGAGTTTATTTATCATCTCATACGATTACTCTCTGTGGTTGTGATTAAATATTAATATATCAAAGCTTTAAAGGCCCTCCAACATATTGGTTATTGACAAAAAGATGACGAGAATTTTTTTTTTATATTATCAACCACAGAAGGATATAAAAAAATCCTTTTGTTATTTTATAGTAACACATTTTACAACCTTTTTTTGCATACTGTTTTTTTTTTCAGTTGTCATTTTTTTCAAATAAACTGACGATATCATAAAGTAATATGAGATGCAGGTTAACTTAATCCATACCTATTACTTTCAACCTGAATTTGTCGACTGAACCTTTAAGTTCGCACATGTACAGTCCTTGGTCTGTAACCTGTAGTTTCTGGATTTTAAGGTTGTATCTCCCATGATTAAAATCTCCTACCACTGACAATCTTGGTCTAAAGTTATCCGGAATATCGGGAGCATTTGATTGGTTCTTCCAGAAATAAACAGCTTCAGGTGGCGGAGGATTTTTGGCAGGGCTGTACCATGTAATGGTTCCATCTAATGCGCAGTTTAATATGATTGTCGAGTCAACATGCCCTATAACAGTGTGTTCCGCTTCGCAAAAGCCTAGATGTAAATACAAAACTTAGACTAAAGAATATACATATATATATATATATATATATATATATATATATATATATATATATATATATACTACCGAATACGTACTAAAAGAGATGTGGCTAACACCAATGAGACTGCAAATCAACAACCCATTTGAACCAAAATATTATACTTCTTGCAAAGACCATAATGCTGCCTGCAAGTAAGTACAATAGTTTATATCTGATCCCACTGATACTTTTTGTGGCTGTGATTAAACTCTAAAGTACTTAGTAATTGATGTGCATATTCATCTAAAATTTTGAAGCAATTCAAAATGTTACTGAAAAGCTTACCATAAATGCAAGACAAAAGTATCATCCATCTATAGATACACTGGTATTGAATTGCCATCATTGTTTATGAAAATGTTCATTATTTCTTATAATAATACGTTTTTATAACCTTTTACGCCTCCATACATGGATGACATGTGAATATCACATCCTGATAACAGCCTCGTGAAATCCAAAATCGTTATTTATATGCATTTGTGTTAATAAAACTTATATCAAATGACACAGCAAAGGATTCAGTAGAAGTTATTTTCATCTCTACATCCTTTGCTCGAAAGGTGCCATGGTATATTATCTAGCCTGGAAAATGTTTATTGAAAACAACAAAAGTGATACCAGTTTTCATAAAACTTCATTCATTATTAATTTTATCATATCATTTGCAAATAATGATGTGAATTATTGACATTGGTCATATGTTCGAATTGTTGAAGTTTAAAAAGGGAGGCCGAAGATACCAAAACGGAGGACAAAATGACAACGCCCTGGCATAAAAAATATAGAAAACTAAAGACTGAGAAACACGAATCCCATCAGATAGTGAAATAAGATTGATGGTAAAGCTGTTTAAAAGATTAAGAGTTAGTCAATGGGCTGATAAAGGACCTTGTTGAAACATACGTCCTTTGAACTGACTCTATCACAGTTGCATAAGTTTGACTTTATTTGTTGTGGTCAGACTAAATTTGCTGGTTTAGGTATGTTCCTCAGTAAATACAGGTATCCAGAACAAGGAAACAATAAACTATAATGTGTATCTGGATTTGTTTCAAAGAATATCTATCTCTAATCTATTACCAAAAACAAAGAGGTGGAAGATATCAACGGAAGAATTCAAAATCGAAGCTCGACAATCATGGCAAATAACGAAAAACGACAAAAAAAACCCAAAAAATGCTGTTTAAAAGAATTGCAACGGAAACACCACCTAAAACCGGGGAAAGATCAGCAAATCCTGCTCCACATGTTGCACACATTAAAAAAAAAGAGGACGGGATTGTGGTTACCATGGAACATGTCAGCCGTCATTTGTGAAACAGATATTCTATAACGGTTTGTGGTTATGACGCATATTTAAAAAAAGTTTATAGTCATGTATTACATTGTGTACTTACTTTTTTCTATTTAACTGTTTGGTTTTTAATTTTTTGAAGAAAAAAAAATGTTTTTTTTTCAGAATGGAAGTGGTAAAAATAGTTTCGTTTCCATGAAAAGAGGGGCGAAAGATAACAAATGGACATTCAAACTCATAAGTCAAAAATAAACTGACAACGCCATGGCTAAAAAAGAAAAAGACCAACTGACAAACAACAGTACACAAAACACAACATAGAAAACAAAAGACTGAGAAACACGAACTCCAACAAAAACCGGGGGGGGGGGGGGGGTGATCTCAGGTTCTCCGGAAGGGTAAGACCCTGCTCCACATGTGGCACCCGTCGTGTTGCTCATGTTACATATGACATTTGAGATTTCCACCCCACAGGCAAAGTCAGGACGTTAGAACTGTTGTGAGCTTAAATAAGGAGCACAGGCAAAGTCAGGACGTTAGAACTGTTGTGAGCTTAAATAAGGAGAACACTATAGCCTCTGAATAGCCTCCCTGCCAACACTTAAAGTGTACTGAATTATTTTCGTCACACATCAAGGTTGGATACACCCGAAGGATACAGCGGCCAATTGGAACATAAGGCAGGATAGATATTTCAACATCTTATTTCTCGACTTTTAAGAGCAAACATCTACTATAGATAGACTGATTTCATTTATAAAGAAGTAAATTAGACCGCAGATACTATGTGTTATAGTAGTCTCAGAGTAGACTAGACTAAAAAACAAAAAATCAGTTTGTATGTTCTTAACCTGTCAACAGTTGGCGTATGTCAAAGCTTTATGCTTTCGATATGGCAGTTATTTTTATATTTCTTTATTATTTATTCCCATATTTATATGATTCGCGCGATCGGGTCTATTGAGAGATTGACGTATTGTTAAAGCTGGGGTCACACATTCACGATTTTCACTGCCGTCCTTGAGAGGACCATTCCCGATTAAAATTTGTCAAAAGTCTGCTTGATCCTGTGAATCGTGGCTGGAAATTCAAACTTTAAATAAAACTTGTAAAAAAATTTATTGAATCACGACAACAATCAGTTATGTTCAGGAAGCGTCCAAATTTAAACGTTTATCCCGTTCTCAATTCGATTCTAATCCGATTTGTATCTTTCGCATGGTACAAAACGACCGAATTTGTCACGCCAGCGTCCCGATTCTACCGAATGAGATCCGACAGAGATCAGACAGTGACCAGACAGTGAACCGACGCTGACGGAAGATATCCGTTAGAAAACTGTCGCCATATTCGGGATGATCAGGTACTGTCGGAACGCAATTATATAACAGTCTGTTGTACCGCATTGCACACCGCTTTGTCTGGACTCAGTCGTATTGTGTTCTGTAATTGTCGGGACTCTGACGTGTGAAGTGTAATCCGATTGTTTAACTTTTCGTGTCTTAGTGCTGTTTTATCTCAAACGGGAGCCATAATCGGCACTGTGTGAACGCTGCATTAGGCACCTGTCAAAGATCATACCATAGGGAACATGTGTACTAAGTTTCAAGTTGATTGGACTTCAACTTCATCAAATACTATCTTGACCAAAAAACTTTAACCTCAAGCGGGACAGACGGACGGACGAACGGACGGACGCACAGACCGAAAAACATAATATCCCTAGGTGGGACATAAAAAGAACTTTTTCTAAAAATGGCAGACTAGGAGGCGTACTAACCAAATTAGAGTTTTACAGTCTTAATTGATCTTATCAAAATTATGTTAAATATTTGAGGTAGATTTTTAAATTAGGTCACGGCGTTAAAATCCTCAAATTTCCAATAAACTATGGACTTACAATTGAAAAAAATATAGGGGCCTTGGTGGCCGAGTGGTCTAAAAGTAGTTAAACTACTGTATGACTAGCCTGTCAACACTGAGGTTGTGAGTTCCAATCAGGCACGTGGCCACAAACTAGCGCAATAGTGCTGAAGTGGCGTTAAAACACCAATCAATCAATCAAAACAACAATTAACAATCAGAAAGGGGATGAAAACAGTATTACAGATTCAAGGCGAAAAAACGTGTGTGTAAATATGATATCACATCCTAATTGTACGGTAATGTTTTTTTTAAAGCCCGTACATTTAGGTCCATTTAAACCTGATAGATACTATATTATAGGAAACATGTTTCACCCAGCCACATAATTATGTGCATGTCCCAAATCAGCAGGCTCTTATTCAGTTGTTATCGTTGAGTTATGTCTGTCATGTATATGTGTTTCGTTTTTTTTGTTTTGTCATAAATCGCGCCATTGGTTTTTTTTGTTTCAATTGTTTCAAATTTTGTCATGTCGAGTCCTTTTATAGCTGACTTTACGTTGTGTGTTTTGATCTTTGTTGAAGCAGTGACATATAGTAGCTTAAATCCACGTCATTTGGACTTTGGTGGATAGTTGTCTAATTGGAAATCATACCACATCTTTTTTTATATTATTACACTGAATGCAAATGTGGTGCTTATCTTAATATTTGTTTATTCCTTCAATTTTTTTTTGTCATCAGTTTAATTTAATTAACTAAATCTTTCAAATCATGCTTCGTCTTAACAAAGACGAATTTTCACAACAGTCTGCACGATCTTTCTTTGATTTCTTTGGCATCGCTAATTCTAGTTTTTTCCAGAAAGAGTCTGCAGCCCTTTGATTGGTTCCTTTAGGCCACGTGATATAAGTTACGGATTGTACAATACATTTTAGAGTATCATCCATTAAACCTTGACAGCTGTCAAATTTATCCAGAAAAATTGGAATTATTTCATGTTTTGATTTACTGTTGATCATTTCAGTATGAGCCACTTCGTATTCAAAAGTGGTATAGCCTCCTTGCAAATATTCTTTGCTGATGATCATTATTGTTCTGCGGCTGTTGGCAATGGCGTCAATTATGTTAGCAGTGATGGCTGAAAAAAATAAATCTTATACTTTATATTCAGTATGAGATGAAAAGATTTAAAATTTGACATGGTTTGCTGTGGTGATGATAAGATTATGCATAAATTGGATCGCTAGCATTCATATTAAAAAATTACTATGGAGATATTTTTCATGGGGTTTTGTATTGCTCAGTCTTTGATTTTCTAAGTGATGATTTTTTTACTGATAATTTATTATATTTCATTTGTCGATTGGGTTGTTTATCCATCTTTGATTTTAAACTTTTGACTGGTCACCTTGCACTTTTATATTTTTTTTCTACCAAAGATTCAAGCAGGTGCTGATGGTATGGCTTTCTTTTAGTCTCTGTTATATTATTCATTGTCTGTATAGACTCCAGGCGATTAAGAGCTTGAAATAAGTGGTAGATAATTGCCATCTATAGATTTGAAGTGGGTGTGTGTGCTTTTAGTCTCTGACGCATTGATGTATATCCCATTTTACACCTTTATTGTATTCATAAAGGCTTATTAATTGACCTTTTCCTGGTAAGAAGTCCTTATGATGAATGCACAATTTAAATCCCAGTTGTTTTTCCAATTTAGGGTACAGGTTTTGAAAAACGAATTGGATATCTTCCTCCTCTGACTTAAACGATACAAATGCATCCCACAATTTAGAATCTGAAAAAAAAATTCCACACAAAAAAGTCAATGAACAATTATGTAAATTTAGAAGAGATACATTTTTCCCCGAACTTATTTCACATCAGACATTTTCTAAAAGTTTTGTAGTTAAATTACTTAATTTCACAGCATGAAGTTTAGGAATTTATTAACATTCTTGGCGTATTTTCAGATAATTCTTAATGAAAAAACCATTCTAGTGGAATTAAGACTATGCCATTATGTATGACCTTTGATGCAAATTTTACAAAAATACGTGATCTTTTCCAATTTTGCTTCAAAATTCCGTTCAACAGCAATGTGTAGCACTTAACACATTTTGATTTAATGATGAAATGATTGTAAAAGGTTTTACGCGTATATTCAAAAGCTAGCTTGCTGTGTTACGACTCATCTGAGTTTGTGTCGATGTTATTTGTTTT